ACGATCACTGAAGACAAAATGGGTGCACAAGCAAATGTGGAAGAAAGTTGATGGTGCCCAGCTATCAAAAGATATAGCATCTGGGATCTGAAAGGCTTGAAGTTAAACAAGTGGCAATGTAGCAACTGTGTGATCATGAGGTGTTGACAGGTTCAGGTAACAGGCATCAGAAGACCCAAAAACAAACAAACATATGAAAAACATCTTGTTGTGAATGAGGTGGATCAGAGTAGAGACCCAAAACCCACCTGTAGACAATAGGACATCCCCTCACAGAAGGGTCACAAGTAAGGGATGAGTCAATCAGGGTGTGGTATAGCATCAATAAAACACACAGTATTCCTCTAGTTCCTTGAGGCTTCCTCACCCCCACTATCATGACCCAGTACTGCCTTTCACTGCGGGCTAGACCACAGCATTTACACAGGTACAGATAAGAGCTCATGACACATGGAATCCAGGTCAAACAGACCCCTCAGGAATAGAAATGGGAGTAGCAATACCAGGAGGTTAGGGGAAGGTGGGGAAATGAGGGGAGGGAGGGGAGAAGAAACTGTGGGGGAAGGGGGAAGTGGCCAATGTAAAATATGAAAATAATAATAATTTATAAGCTTTCAAGGGGTCATGAGGGGGGTGGAGGGGAGGGACGGAAAAGAGAAGAGCTGATAGCAAGGGCTTAAATAGAAATAAATGTTTAGAAAATAATGATGGCAACATATGTACAAATATGCTTGAAGCAATTGATGTATAGATTGTTATAAGAGCTGTAAGAGTCCCCAATAAAATGATCTTTTAATAAAAAAATGAAATAAATGAAGACATGATCATATCCTGCCTAAGCTATTCACCAATATCCTTTCACCGTACTAGGTAATCTTGGCTTCCAGTCCTGGGCCAAGATAGGTTCTTGCTACAGCAAAGAATGGACCCTGTGAATAATACCCAACGGGTAAATACGTTAAACCATAATGATTATCACGAAAATTTATGTCCTCTTGAGAAAGGTTTCAGAAATGGATGATTTGATTTGTTCTGCCTATAGCTGCAATGGCTATCTGTTCATTTGTTCGTGTGATTTGGTGACTAACTTCATTTCGTGTCCTAATGTATACACACAGTCAGATATTTTAGGAGTGCTGCTGTTCTAACTGGATTAACTGTAATCTAAAATTTCATACCATGCAGTGAGTTGCTTTGTAATATTAAAACCATGTTTCATTTTCCTTTTTTGCATTAGGTCCTGGGAGCTGATGATGATAACATGAGTGATGGATGCTCTCAGAAGCTGGCAATTGCTAAGTATTTCCGATTTCTACTGCTGGTCCTGATTCCATGCATCTGTGCCCTCACGGTCCTGCTGATCATCCTCCTCTCCTTTCTTGGTGGGTGATGCCCTTAAGAAACCAAAATGAGGTTAACATTAAAATTAGCATGACTTGTAAGAGTGATTTCTACCTCGTTAACCTGAAGTGTTAACTGAATGAGAGGGTTATGTGTTGATTTATTGCTGTTGTTGTTAGGAGCCATTGAGTCAGTTCCGACTCATTGCAACCCTATGCACAACAGAGCAAAACAACGCCTGATTGTGTACCATCCTCACAATTGTTGAAACCATTGTTGCAGCTCCTATTTCAATCCATCCTGTTGAGTGTCTTCTTTGTTTTTGCTGCCCCTCCAAGCATGATGTCCTTCAGGAACTGGTCTCTCCTTATATAACATGCCCCCCCCAAATGAGACAAAGTCTCCCCATCCTTACCTCTAAGGAGTATACTGGCTACAAACCTGAAGTCCCAGCCTCCGTAATTACTTTACTGATTAGTATTATCAATACTAATGAATGAACACATTAAGAAATTATTGAGTGATTACTAGAGCAGGCATTGTGAAGATTCTTGAGGCTCAAATACGTTTAAATTGGTTCTTTTTTGGTGCTTGCAGGTGAGAGAAGGAGGTAATTAGCACACAAAGGAATGCATGCCGATGATAGCAGTGTAGACAGGCATTTTTGGAGGCCGTCAAAGGACGAGTCACAGAGAAGTTAACATTTTCACCCTTGGAACAAAGTTAATAAAAACATAGGCTTCACGACAATCCCACAGAGGTCCCATTGGCAGAGAAAAGAGCAAGTGCAAACGTGTAACCTAATAAAAGATGGGAATGGATTTTGGAAACTGATCAAATGTTTGGCAGGGGTGAAAATTCAATTAGACTGGTATGTCAAGTCCACATGTTGCACGACCTAGCAAGCCATACTAAAGTGCTTAGGTGCCAGCATCTCAATTGTTATTTTTCAAATGCTATTTTGTGGAACCCAGTGTTCTGAACAGAGGGCTCAAATATTGCATACATGTTTGCTTGGATTTATTTTACAAAAGAGAACTTAACCACACATTCAAACCAAGTAAGTATTTTCACTGCCTTTCAGTCAATTCTGACTCATAATGCCTTAGCACAGAGTAGAACTGCCCCTTTCGATGTGGAGGCTATAAATCTTTACAGGAGCAGATACCCTCATCCTTCTCCCACGAAGCTACTGCAGGATTCAAACTGCTGATCTGGAGGTTAGCAGCCTAACACGTCTATTGCTTCATCCTACTCTAGGCCAAGTCTGGAAGCTCAACTGAAACCAATGGTCACTCTGCTGGTATTAGAAATACTTGTGGCATAATTTCCAGCTCATCCTATCAATGCACACGCCAGCACCATATGGCAAACTGTGTTAGTCTGGGTACTTTAGAGAAACAAATCCACAGAAACTCATGTATAAGAGAGAGTTTTATATAAAGGGTAAGTGCACATCAAGAAAACATCCCAACCCAGTGCTGCCCAAGCCCACAAGTCCAACATTAGCCTATATGTCTGACACCAATCCACAAAGTCCTCCTCCATCTCACAAAACACACACTATGACACTGACTGCAGGAGGAAAGCCGAATCAGTGAGTGCGTAAGCATCTCAGCGCTGGCAAGGGTCTCCACATGGCTGCTCCAGCACCCAGGGCTGCATCAGGGTAGGTCCATGCAGCTTCTCCTCAGGGATGTCTCGCAGGAAGTGAGCCTTGCCAGCTGAAGCAGGGAATTGGCTAAGGCAGCTGCACACTGGTCCAACCATCAGAAAGCAAGAGACCGGGAACTAGAAAGGCGAGGCTCACTGTGCCATTTATCCCCGCACCCTTCAATTAACCCAACATATGTTTATCGGCCAGGTTGGCACAATAAACTTTAACTATCTTACAAACTGATCGACCAGTGGGCAAACAATGATAGAAATCCTATTATTTGTCTGGCTCTTTGTTGTACTGTGGTAGCTTGGGTGTTGCTGTGAAGCTGGGAGCTCTACCACTGGTACTTCAAATCCAGCAGGGTGACCCATGGTGGACAGGCTTTAGTGGAACTTTCAGATTCAGACAGACTAGCAAGAAAGAACAGACAGTGTCCGTCTGGGGGACTAGCTACCAACATGCCTCTGAATAGCAGTAGAGTTTTCTGATACAGGCTAGGAGATGAGACCTTCAGATTTGAATGCACTCAAAATATGATGGGGAAAAGAAGACCGAGTTTGATCTTAATGGTGGGGGTGGATTAAAGCTTTTGGGGCTTAATTTGTTCTCAAAATGAGAAGGAAAAGCTGCAAATATCCATTAAGAACTGAATTATAACACACATAAGAGCAATCTAGAAAATTATAAATCATCAAGCATGAAAAGGAATCCATAAAGATCGATATCCCGGGCAGTATTGAGCTGAAATGGACTGGTATTGGGCATTTTGATCAAATAATCATATGGGTTACTGTGCTGGGAATGTCAAGTGCAAGAGGAATGATATCGCATTCATTGTCAAAAAACAAAAGGACATTCCAAGATCTATATCGAAGTACAATGCTGTTGTGTGCTAGGATAATACCTATCTACCTACAAGGAAGACCAGCTAACATGACTATTACTTGAATCTATTCACCAACCACTGTAGCCAGTAATAAAGAAACTAAAGCACCCTACAACTACTATCTTAAATTGATTAGCTAAACCACGAACATGCATTGGTACTACTGGTGGTGACTGGAAAGTGGAAACAAAAAGGGAAGCACTTGGAAAACATGGCCTTGTGATAAAAACCAAGTTGGAGAGGGTATGACAGAATTTTGCAAGACCAGCGACTTGCTCATGGCAAATACCATTTTTCAATAACAGAAGCAGAGACAATACACATTGAACAGTGAAGGTTCTCCCCTGAAGTTTTCGTTTCTGCCCGCTGTGGCACCACCTCTATCAGGTTATTGTTAGCTGCCGCAGAGTCGGTCCCTGACTCCTGATGATAACACGTGCGATGGAACAAACACGGTCTGGTCTTCTGCCAACGCCCTGACTGGTTGTGGATTGGACCATTTTATGGTCCATGGAGTTTTCTTTGGCTGACTTTCAGAAGTAGACATCTAGTTCTTCCTCGTTCTTCCTATTCCGAGAGCTCTTCTGAAACACATTCAACACACAAGCTTCCATGAGCAGTTGGGTGGTGGCTGTGCTTGCGGTACACTGACCTGGCCTTCCGGGTGGAAGGTGAGCATTCGGTCACTGAACTGCTACTGCTTCCCCCGAGACTCATCTCTGCCATTCGTTTCTTTCCAGTTTATTCCTCTCAAGAGCCTGCCTATTTTTTCCCCTTCCCTTCCCAGTGCCTTCCAGTAATTGTATTTTGTCCAGAGTTTATGGTTGTTATCTACCTGTTAGATGCTAACCCAGGCCTGCCATTAAGTGAAAAATGTCAAAGTTTAATTCTTATTATCCTGGGGCGCAGGGTTCCTGCACATTCAGTAATATTTCATGCCATTGTCAGAATCTAATGTTAGTATAAGTCTAAAATAAGCTTTTAAACTCCTTGGTATTTAGGAGCTCTGAGCAAAGGAGGTTGTTAGTGAACAGTGTTTCAAGTGGGTTTATGTTATGACTCATATGAGAGGAGGGAGGTGACCGATTTGTGACTACTTGCTGTGGTCTTTGCCTTAGATGTAAGCAACCTTCTGAAATGGGATTTCCCAACACAGTTTCTTCAGACGCATTTTTTTGTAGGTTCTGAAGCCGATGATTTGATATAGACATATTGAAGCAGTATCTGCCCAAAGAGACATTTCCTTTTTGAAACCATGCAGATTATTATTATAATGAACAATAAAACCATTTTGCATTTTTATTTAACGGCCTCATTACATTCTGCTTACTTCTCAAGAGCATTTTCTTTGGCTTGAGTTTAAAACTCTATTCTCTTCGAAAGTTTGCATTTAGTCCCAGGCGCAAGAATGTTACCAAGGGATGCTGGATGCCAATTGTGCATAAATAACAGGAGCGTTAGCTTCAAAAGGCAAAGAGCTGATACTGAGAGGATTACTGATTAGGAAAAGATAATGCAAGCCTGATGTTAACAAACACAGATGTATTATGTGTCTCCAATTTAGTCTGTTCTGGTTTCTTTCATGCATGAAGTCAAGATGGTGAAACTATTTCTGTAGATACCAGAGCTGGATTTCTTGTCTAAAGATTTAGCTAGAGAAGAATGCGGTAGCAAATCGCTTTTCCCCTGCCCCAAACTGAAGCGGGTCTTCTTTCGTTTTGTGGTTCTAAACTGGCCAGATAGTTTGAGCTTTCCAAATGGTCCCAAAGATTTAAGCTTTAAAGAAAGGATTCAAGTTTTTAGGGGTACAAAAAAGAAGAAATGAAAAGATGATGAGAAAGGACAGCCTTCTTTGTGGGTGTCCTTAGGTGCCAGTGAGTCTGTTCTAACCCACAGTGACCATATACACAACGGAACAAGACACTGTCAACACCTGCACCATGCACCATTTCACAATTGTTCCCAGGCCTGAGTCCACTGTTCCAGCCTCTGTATCATTCCATCTCCTTGACAGCCTTCCTCTCCTTTGCTGCCTTTCTGTCCTACCTTAGCTGATGTCCTTCTCCAGGGACCAGTCTCTCCTGACATCATGTCCAAAGTCTATAAGACAAAGTCTCTCCACCCTTGCCTCTAACTCCTTAGAGGCAAGAAGAGGATGATTTCTTCCAAGACAAGATACGTTTGTCCCTTGAGCAGTCCATGTTACTGTCAATATTCTTATCCAGCACCGCAATACAAGTGCATCAATTCTTCAATCTTTCTTATGTCCAACTTTCACATGCATTTGAGGCAACAGAAAATACCATGGTTTGGGTCAGGCACACCTTAGTCCCCAGAGTAACATCTTTATTTTCAGTACCTCAAGGAGGTCTTGAGCATATTTATCTAATGCAATACATCTTTGGATCCCTTGTCTGCTGCTACTGTCAGCTTTGATTGTGGATCCAAGCAGTACAAAACCCTTGAAAGCTTCAACCTTTTCTCCATGATCTTGATGTTCCCTATTGGTCCAGTTGTGAGGATTTTGGTCCTCTTTAAGTTGAGTTACAATCCATTTTGAAGGCTGCATTTTTTTGCTGTGATCTAATAATGAGGGATTGATGGAATACCAGCTGAAATGTTTCAACAAGCTGATGTAGCACTGGAAGCACTCATTTATGCCGAGAAATTTTGGAAGACACTTATTTGTCCAACTGACTGGAAGAGATCCATATTTTTACTTATTTCAAAGAAAGTTGACCCACCAGAATGCTCAAACTACAGAACAATATCATTGATATGGCATGCAAGTAAAATTTTGGTGAAGATCATCCAACAACGATTATAGCTGTACATTACAGGGAACTGCCTGTAGTTCAGGCATGATTCACTAGAAGGACGATGTGGAACAAGGAATATCATTGCTGATGCCAGACGGATTTTGGCTCATAACAAAGAATACCAGAAAGACATTTACTATCTTTTATTAACTCTGAAAATACACTAGATCGTGTGGATCATAATAAACTGTGGATAACCGGGAGAAAAGTGAAAATCCCAGAACACTTAATTGTGATCATGCGGCACTTGTACATGGATTAAGAGCCAGTTATGTGAACAGAACAAGGGGATGCTGCATGGTATAAAATCGGACAGGTGTGCATCAAGGTTGTATTCACTCACTGTACTTATACAATCTGTATACTGAACAAATCATCCGAGAAGATAGATTATATGAAGAAGAATGTGCATCAGGATTGGAGGAAGGCTTATTAACAACCTGTGATATGCAAATGATGCCACCTTGCTTGCTGACAGTGAGGAAGACTTGAGCACTTGCTGATGAAGATCAAGGATTGCAGTCTTCAGTATTAATTATGGCTCAAAGTAAAGAAGACACACACCCTCACGATGGGACCAATAGGCCAAATGACAGACTCAATGCCATCGAGTCAATGCAGACTCCTAGCAACCCCTTTCGGTTTCTGAAACTGCAGCTGTTTACGGAAGCAGAAAGCCCACTCTTTCTTCTGTGGAACTGCAGGTGGTTTCAAACTGCCGACCATGTGGATTGCAGCCCAACTTGTAATAACTACACCACCAGGCTCCTTGGCTCAATCGGGAACATCATGATAAGTGGAGACAAGGTTGAAGTTGTCGAGAATTTTGTCTTGCTTGGATCCACAATCGATGCTCAAGGAAGCAGCTGCCAAGAGATCAAAAGACAAGTCACGTTAAGTAAATCTGCTGCACAAGACCTCTTCAAAGTATTGAAAAGCAAGGATGTTACTTTGAGTACTAAGGTTGGCCTGAACCCAGCCGGCATAATTTCAGTTGCCTCATATGCATGTGAAAGTTGGACATTGAATAAGGAAGAATGAAGAAGATTCCATGCATTTGAATTATGGTACTGGAGAAGTATATTTAAAGTACCATGGACTGCCAAAAGAACAGGAAGAATGGTCAGACTCTGGTCTTACATACTTTGAACATGTTGTCAGGAGATACCAAACACTGGAGTGGGACATCATGCTTGGTAAAGTGGAGGGCAGCAGAAACAAGGAAGGCCCTCAGGAGGTGGATCGACACAGTGCTGCAACCACAGATTCAGGCACAGGAACATGTGTGAGGATGTTACTGGAGAGGGCAAGGTTTTGCTCTGTTGAGCATAGGGTCTCTGTGGGTTGGAACTGACTGGATACTATCTAACAAAAACAACAATAATGAGGAGCCATGCATCGTATCACTGACTCTACCACTTCTCTGTGAGTTTGAGAGATCAGTCTCTCTGTGTTCCTGTGAGGCAGGAACCATGTATCAAAGATCGAAGGGACACACTGAATCACAGTATCAAAAATAATTAGTTCAACAATTTCAAGAGATGGCATATGATCAAGAAGTAATGGCACTGAAGGAAAAAGTCCAGGTTGCACTAACGGCATTGGTAAAGCAAGGAGCTCCAAGAATGATTTCAGAGCCTAAGGAAAATGTTTCAACAAGCCGATGAAGCATTGATGAGGCACTTGTCTCTGCCAAAAAATTGGAAGACGGCTGCCTGCCCGATCAACCCAGAGAGACCCATATTTGTGCCCATTCCAAAGAAAGGTGACCTAACAGAATGAGGTACTTCTCATGCAATATCTTAACATCACATGCAAGGGACATTTTGCTGAAGATCACTCAACAATAGTTGTTGCAGCACATCATCAGGGAGCTGCCCGAAATTCAGGCCCAATTTGTAAATCCACCTTATGGGTCTTTGCAACGATTACATACATATTCATGGAAAGACCATGCTATGTGGCGAATCTCTTCATTCCAAGACAGGAGAAGAAGAGAGTAACTAAAATATGTGGATAAAAGTAAAATCATATTTAGTGGATGCCATTTTCTTTATGAATCAAATTCATTTCATTTGTGGTCAAGACAATCATATGTTTATTTTGATCTAGAATACATTTTACGTTGTTATATTAGTAAAAATTCGTTATACAAAGTCCCACATTGTACTAGTTGATATTTGGCATTCACTCACACACAGAGTGCGGGGAAGGTGCTACCTTCATCACATGGCCCCAATTTAGCTTTGACTCTCCAATGTTTTTTTTTAGAAATCACTGGCACATGAAACGGTTGACCTTAGTTAGCTAGGAAGCAGCTGGTTTTCTATTTTGATATGTAGTTAGTGTTTTCCAAGTGTCAAGCACATGTAGAGAAATATTTTCCATAGACTGATATTAAACATTTTATTTATATTTCTTTTATTTTTAATGGTCCCTGGGACTGTTTAGAAAATGTAAAGCCTATTTGAGAGCTCAGTGTAAGTGTTCTTAGGGGGAAAAGAATCTCCCTTGGGTATTTCCACAGATGGGTCGATATCACATTCATTTATTTCCGTGATATGCTCAGCTACAGTGCCATATTCTAGAAACACAGTCGGCTGTCTGTTTCGGCTGAGTTAAAAATATATCATCTCCCTCAGTGTTTTCAAGTTTATGCCAAAAGAGAAAGCTGAGTAACTCCCAGCCACTTCAGGATCGGCCCTGCGTTTTGTCAGTGCCTGGGTATCTTGAGACAGTGACCAGCTGGAAAGCTAAATGTAATGACTAGTTCTTATAACTATATTTGATAGTCTCGGGTCAAAGGTGGGGATAGTTTAGTTTCTGCATTTAGTTTGCACTGCACTTAGGTTTCCTCTTTTGGTTCCTACGATATAAGTCATAGTAAGTGTAAGTGCCCTATTGTTTTTATTGATATGTTGGGTATACTGAAATTCAGTGCAAAACACAGAGAAATTTACGGCTGAAATGAAGCAGCATGATGGGGCCCTGGTGACGTAGTGGTTATGAGTTGGGCTGTAGTCACAAGGTCAGCAGTTCCAAACCACTGGCCACTCCATGGGAAAGAAACCAGGGCTTTCTATTCCAGTTGAGGCTTATGGTCTCAGGAACTCAGAGTGGCAGTTCTGCCATGCCTAGAAGAGAGCTATGAGCCAATACTGACTCAATGGCAGTGAGTTGGGTTTTTTTTAAACACCACTTTTATGTCCTTTGGTGGCAGATATATGAAGTGTTAGTTAAATGAGTGCTGAGTAACATAATATAATGAGTGAAACAGAAGCAGAAATGAACACTGTGAGATTCATATTTTATTGAGTTGTAGTAATTCCCAGGTAAGTCACCAGTTTAAGCTGAACTTCCCCTACATACCTTAGATACTAGGAAGCTAAGATTGGAGACTCAATATTGAACCCGAAGTCTTGAGAGAGCCATCTTTTCCCATAGGCTTATGTAGTGATGGAAGAAGAGCAGAGCGAGTCTATGAGTTGTCCAAAGGAGGACGTCGTTGGGATCATGATCCTCTATGTCATTGGATTTGCCTGAGTAAAAGAGACATGGGAAACCAACTCCATGGGTTCCTTTATATTTATATGTATACATGAAAATCAATACTCCTCCTACTTATATGATTTTTAAACAGCTATATTTACACATTTACGTATTTATCTATTGAGCTTACAAAAATGAGTGCTTTGATGTATATACGCACTTCCCTAGTTCGAGGTGCCATTTATCAATCGTATCTAGAGCTCTTCAAGCTTGTGTTGATCCTAGTTTTGTTTTAAAACATTTTGGGGGGTATTGTTTTTGTTTTTGATCTTTCAGGAACGTTAAAAAAACCCTATTTGAAATCAGATGGGAGGGAGCCTTTGGTCACTGATGGTGAAGTCCAAGTGCCTGATGTTCACCTTGAATATTCCATGGAGAAGAGCACTGTACATCCCACCCAACACATTCCAGATGGGGCCGCAAATGCTTCTCTCCCCGGGGACCCAAATTACAGAAGCACAAGTGAGTCTGAAGGTGATGAATGCGCGTGCCCTTTCATGTCTGTGAACCAGACAGCCTTTTCAGTATGGCAACTGATGCTTTTCATTCACAATCGCTTACTGCTCACCAGGGCAAAGACTCCATCCAGTTATCCTATCATAGTGCCTTATTCTTACATGTAACATGTCTTCAGCTCAGAATTCCAGAAATAGAAATGAGAAAATAAATGAAAGTATAACAATGTTATTAACATTTCTGAGGTCTGAAGGTTTAAACTGCTTGTCCCACTGTAGTAGCATTGCTGTTTTGTTTGTTTGTTTTGTTTACATTTATAAACTTGGGTCCTTTCCCTCCCTCTCCTTGCTCTTTTATTTTTCTCTGTGCTCTGTATCTTACAGTAAAAGCTGGAACCTGCATAAGGCAGAAACCTTCCTTCTAGAGCAGGAAAATGCAAATCGTTTCCACTACAACAAGCAATAGAGAAGTGGTGACTCCACACTGTCAGTGGTGGAAAACTTCGGAGACCCAGAAAACCAGGCCGTCTCGTTGAGCTAGGGCTCTCACAGATTTATCTGTACTTACTCAGTTGCTGAAGAGCCCTGGTGGCTAAATGTGTATACTTTGGGTTGTGATCCTGAAGGTCAGCAGTTCAAATCCACCAGCCACTTTGAGGGAGAAAGAGGAGGCTTTCTACTTCCATTAAGAGTTAGTCTCAGAAACTCATAGGGGCAGTTCTACCCTGTCTTATAGGGGCTCCATGAGTCAGAATTGACTCAGTGGCAATGAGTTTGGGATTTGGGGTACTTAGTTACTGACACGTAATCAGATCTTGAAGTCACTTGTATGTCAGAAACTCTTCTGCAGGAAGACAAGTGGAAGGATTTGTCCAATTTTCTCGAAAGAACAGAAGTGGGGTCAATGTGATATAGGCAGATTAGTTGACCTGGGATATGACTTCATCCTTCATTACCTCTCTGATCTGTAGTAAAGTTACTAAACTCCCAGAATGCTTGGTGGGAATGGGTTTATGGGACAAATGCCAAAGAATCTTGGCTGGAATCTCATCAATACCGATAAACAAGGATCAGAGCACAGCCCCTGAGAGAACTCTCTTCTCTCTGCGTTGTGGGGGGTTTCCCTTTCTGCTCCCTAAAACAAGCAGATGTGGCTAAAAAATATGCAATGCCCATCCATTCATGATCATTTTCTTCTGTGTCCCTCCCTTTCAAGAAAATCCACAATGGGAAATCACATCTCAGATCCAGGACAGAGTATTTATTTTTACTGAGAGCCAGGAAAGGAAAGATTAAGTTGGCTTTTAGCTATCACAGTATGTGTTTGTCAGTGATTTGAAGCAAAGCAGGAGTGTTCTATTTCCCCACCTCAACAGAGACAGGGTGCTCGGGTGTCTTGTGTGACGGAGCTCCTGCAGACACGTCCTTTTTCTTGGGCTCACTCAGTGTTCACCAGTGGGGCCTAGAGACTCATGTTCGCTGCCTGGCAGAAATACCGCAAACCAAGGTGGTGCCAACTCACATGGACGTTCCTCCTGGGTTTAATCTTGTGGTTTGCTATTTTGTTCATATCTTAAGCACCTTATTCTTCGAAAGGGCAGTGTTTTCCATCAGAACTGCAAAAATAATGGAAAGAAAAACTTGGCCGAGCTAATGTGATTTCAATTACAGCATTTGTTACTCTCTTTTCCTAAGTGGATTTCTCTCTCTTTGGAAAAGTTCTGTCATTTGTTAAGATTCACAACAGTGACAAATGTATACAGTAAAGAGTCATGAACCATATGGTAATTGTTGCTTTGTTTGGATATTTGATGGGAGTCTGTTTGATTCATTTTCACTTTCTATGGCTATAGCCTTATTTGCAATTATGAGTGTAATTTGACATGTTAGAGGAAATCCAGGTGAAATTAGAATGATTACTGTATATACTCAAGTATAAGCCAAGGGACCTAATTTTACCACAAAAAACTGGAGGGCTTTTTCAGCATAAAAATATGTGCTGAAAAAACTCAGCTTTTACTCGAGTATATACGGTAAATAGAGAAAGGCTGAAACCATTCAAGACATGTCATTCAATATTTGACATAGCATTGACCTTTACTGTCTAACTACATAGACCTCAAATAAACTGCCCAGGCCAACCAAATGATTTATCACAGGACACTTGATAGCTTTTCATACATCTCAGTAATAGTGCCAGCCTCTAATTACAGAGCTTTGGGCAATTTTCAAGGCAGGCTTGAATACTTTTTCTTTTCAATCTCATGATTATCTGAGGAGGTATGTAGGACAGGTACTATTGCATATCATTTGTCAAGGCTTGCTATCGAGGCTTAGAGAAATTGACATGTCCAATACTACTTGCCTAGCATTTAATAGAGCCAGAATTGGGAATCAGATATTGGGAGCAGTGCTCTTTTAAATATTCTTCCTCATTTAATTTTATTGCTTCAATTACAGTAAACATATTCTAAACTCTTGGAGACTGGAGATTCTATGTATTGCTATCTAGATATTGCTCAGCAAAATGTTTGTTCAATGGGCAAATAACTGTACTCCAGTGAGTGATAGCTAATCAAGCTTCTGTCGCTTGGTATTCCTTTAATGCTTGTATTTAGACCTATTAGTCTCTGGGTGGTACAAATGGCTAATATGATCGATTGATAGCTGAAAAGTTGGTAGTTTGTCATGCATTCTTTCATGTATTTTTAAAAATCATTGTACTAGGGGCTCATACAACTCTTCACAATCCATACATACATCATTTATGTCCAGCATTCGTACATATGTTGCCATCATCATTCTCAAAACACCTGCTTTCTACTTGAGCCC